CCGACCAGGACACCATCCGCGAGCTCACCGGCAAGCTGGGCCGCTGCGAGAGCGGCCTGCCGCGCGGCCTCCAGGATGCCGGGCCCCGCCGAGACACCATGGCCGACGGGCCCTATGACTCGCCCGCGCTCATCCTCGAGCTGGAGGACGCGGCCCGCGCCCTCCGGGACCGCATCGACCGCCTGGAGGTGAGCTCTGCGCCTGCCCCGCCCCGCGCCGGCGGGGAGCCCCGGGTGGGAGGGGCCGCCAGGTCCAGCCGGTGCTCTTCGAAGGCGCCCAGGTGCCAGGCCAACACTGCCCGCGGTGTCCGAGCCTCCTGTCGGTGTACGTAGGGGGGACGAGCGTTCCTTCTCGGCGCAGGGAGCGCAAGCAGACGTCTGGCACAGTGACCGAGGCACCGGGCAGGCCAGGGAGGCTCGTTCCCGACCCTTTTTCCTTTCCAGGCACCTCTCTGAGCGCCCTGTCCGCGTCTGTAAAATGGGCATGACGGTGTCCTCTTGTAGTGGAATTGAACTAAAATCTAAGTGCGGACTTGCCGGGGCCGCACCAGGATCTCGTTAAGTGTCCATTTCGTTTCCTTCTCGTGAAAGCCCTCGAAGCAGCAGCAGCCCCACAGGCAGTGTGGTCCGGAGGTAGGCTGCGCTGTCCGAGGGACTCGGGCTCCTCCTCTTGAGGAGAAGGACCCGAGACAGAACGCCCCGTAAGACAACCTGGGCGCCCTTCTCCCGCAGCCGGAGTGCCGCAGGCTGGAGGAAGTATTAAAAGCAGGCACACGCCCGACACGCACACAAGGTTCCTGAATTTAAACCCCTGACCAGGCAGCACAGATATGTGGAAGGTCCGGACCTTCCTGTGCCCACGCCTTCCACAAAGTCCCTGCTGCTGTGGCCACCCACCCCACAGGGTGTCAGAGTGCAGCCAGGCCGTTGCAGTCAGCCACTCACCCTACAGATGAATAAGCCCAGGCTCCAGGCCCTCGAAAGTGAGGGGGTGGGGGGCAGGAGGAAAGGCTGGCCAACCCCGCCGCCCCCTGTCCTGGAGATTTCTAGAAGGAGCAAGCTGAAAACAGGGAAATAACCAGGGACAAGCCGGAAGTCCACAGTGAAGAGAAGTCAGTGTTCTCACCTGTGAAGTGGGGTAATAGCTACCTCACTGGAGGTGTCAGGAGGGTTAGTGAGGTGCTCTACGGGAAGGGCCCGGAACAGTGCCTGGCACAGTTTGCTCAGTACATTTGTGTGATTGGGTTTTTTTTTTTTTTTTTATCATTAAGCTATAATGTAACTATTTAAAACCTACAGCCGAAAATCAAAATGGGAACAAAATGCTCCTTTTAGGGAACAGATTTTAATGTATATTAAAACAAATAGATTTGGTTTCCAGTAAACTTCCTGTTGCCTGCCATAGCCTCTCCCCCCACATCCAGATGGCACAGGTGGCTCCTCCCACGACTGGGGCTGGCACGACTGGGCTTGCTCTGGACCTGTTTCCCCAGCACCTGCGGCACTTGGCAGGGTGGGCTCCCCTCCAGTCCACCTGCTGGGGTTGGGGGGATCCTGGCAGCTGGGAGTTGGCAGCCAGGCTGGGGTAGTCCTGGCTTTCCCACACTCAGCGTCTTCTGTTTCCAAGCACAGGGGCCATGGGGAGGAAAAGGCAGGAGCTCCTGGGCCACCAGGTCACCTTCTGAGCCTGGAAGGGACCAGCTCCAGGCTCACTGGGGCCTTTGGGAGGGTCTGAAGTCTGAATCCCAAAAGACATGGGGTCAGATTACAGATGGGGGCCAGATTACAGATCTCCACTCAGTTCCTTGCACCCTTTATCCACGGTCTAATTTCTTCCCTCGCTTCTTATCTAATCACCTCAAAAAGCCTCCAGAGCTTCAGGGCTACTTCTCCCACAAGGGCACATGGACAGCTGACAGAGTTTAAGCCCTTGTCTCCCTGGACCCTCTCCAACAACGTCTGGCCCCCTGGCAGTCCCCTCCGTCCAGCTCCCCATGCTCTTGGCCTCTAGGTGCCTTTCTATGCTCCCCTCACTGGGAACAACCACTTCCCTGTCCTTGCGGGGCCCCCCACCTTAAAGGTGTGCACCCCTCTTGGCTCTTCTCTCTCTTTCC